TCGGCTCGTTTACTCAGTGGGACTGCGCTGGCAGTCTCAAACTCGGCTTGTTACTCAGAGGGACTGCGCTGGCAATCTCAAACTCGGCTCGTTACTCAGTGGGACTGCGTTGGCAGTCTCAAACTCGGCTTGATGCCTCGGTGCCTAATGCAGCTGCGCGGACACAGTCAAAAGTTGCCCTTAAATACGGTGTGCGCAGACTCAGTTCAGCTTCAACTCTCAAGTGTGCGCAAGCACACAGTTTGATCACGAACCTCAGATGAGCTCAAAGTTTATGACCAATCAGATACAAAGTTCAGGCAAGTGCTCTCAGTTCAGATACGGCACATACACAGCTCACGGAGGGTGAGTGACAGGGGAATAGAGGCAGTTGGAAAAGAAGAGGGAGTGAAAGGGAAGATGAGAAGAGAGAGAGGAAAGGGAATGAGAAAGGGAAAGTGGGAGGTCAGTCTTGCCCCCCCCTTTTCCTTATCCCTTCCCTGGCTTGCCTTCCGCTCGACTCTCTTGCCTCCTGCTCCGTGCTCCTCTCTTACTCCTGCTGGCAAGTCGCTGATCTTTGACTCATGCTCTCCGCCTCTTGCCGTTCCGCCAAGGCTGAAGTGCTCCAGCCGCGTGTGCCGCGTATGCTGATCTGTCTGATCCTTGCGATCCGCGTGATCTGTGTTCTTGGGTGACGTGGCCTCTCTTTTATAATGGAGAGGCCTGGTGATCGGGCTGTGCTGCAGTCCCATGGTCGGGGCTGTGGTCAAACTCTAGACCGGGCCTGTGCTAAAAATAGCAGCAGTCCCGACCTCGGGATATGAACAATCAGTCCTATTTTTAGAATGAGACTGGCGCAGGCCCAGTCCCCGGTAGATGAACAGTCAGTCCCATGCTAAAAATAGCGTGGGGCTGTGCTATTTTTAGAACGGGACTGGTGCAGGCCCGACTTTGGGAAATGAACAGTCAGTCCCGTGCTAAAAATAGCACATGACCCTATTTTAATTATTCGGGCCTGGCTGTTCATCTATATGGCTACTTAGGGCTGTTCCTTTCCTGGCCGGGTTACGCGGTCGTGTCGGTCCGGTCCTAACTGGTCAAACTTAATTATCTCGCTAACCCTTGGTCCGTTTCAGGTGCCGTTTGAACCGGACCCCACTAATTGGCCCATTGCGGTCGCGTCGGTCCAGTCCAACGGGGACGATTAGGTCTCCAGCGGACCGTACCGCCGCGCCGTCTTTCCCTTGATTTCGGCCCAGGGGCAAATCTAACCGATGCGTTAGGGCCCAGCTTGACTATGACCGTGGACGTCCCTAAGCGCAGCTTTGACGCAGCGCGGAGGTTGACTGCGACGAGTCGATTTCTGCCGCTGCGCCGCATTGTCTTCCGACACCGCGCCCACCCCCTCCCCCGGCCCCGGCCCCGCCCCCGCACCGGCCCCTCACCCCTGCCCCCACCCCTGGCCCAGACCCCGCACCCCCGCCCCCACTCCCAGCCATCCCCGACCCCGCACCCCGATCAGCCCCTCCCCGGCCCCGCGCCCAGGGCCACCCCGGGCTCACCCGCTTATACACATCTAGATGTGTATAAGAGACAGCACACACACAGAGCACACACAAGCGCACACAAACTCTCACACACACACACACACCCCGGGGGGGGGCCGAGGTGGGGCCAAAACTGCATTTTTGCAGTTCGGCCCAGGGGGTGCAGGCTGCCGCTGCGCACCCCCCTGTATTTTTTTTTTTTTTTTTTTTTTTTTAATTTTGTTTTTTTTTTTTTTTTTTTGGGGGGGGGTCCGGAGCCGGGGTGAGGGGTGCCCACCCCCGGACCCCCGCACCCCCGCCGGGGCCCCGGGGCCGGGGCTCGACAACCCTGACAGGGACGCTGGGCCCAATTTCCAGCAGGTGCAGCTCCCCACCAATAAATGGAGCCTTCGACGCTGGGGGCCTACTTCTCGGGGATGCTCTTATCACCTCGATAAGTAGGTTTCCCGTATACGAAGTTAAAAAAAAAACAAAAAAAAGTTCCGGAGGCTCGGGCCTACCGGATCACAATGGCTTGGGGCTGCAGTCAAAAGAGAAAAAAAGTGCGCTATTCGGCTTGGCACGATGTCGCGAATACAATTTGTTTGCTAGCCTTTCTGGAATGATACCCCACCAGTATGTCCGAGCCTCATTTTTTGACAGCGGATTTCTGCCGCACTGGCACGTCATTCGATTGGCACGACGGCGCCAGCCTTTTCGTGTGGTAGGCCGATCCCCTGAGGACGCATTGGAACAAAAGACGGAAAAACGTGCTGGTGGTTTAATGAGGCTCTATCTAAGGGACCCCTCTTCCGACCCCACTAGTCATCTCCCCTTCTTCCACCTTCTCCTTGCTGCCAGTCCCTCTCCCATTTCCCCCCTCCTCCCCCCCCTCCCCCCCCTCTGTGGAAAAGAAAACAAAGACAAAAACGAAAAGAGAACAAAAGCAAGAAAAAAAAAGGAAGAAAACAAGAAAAACAATGAGATGCTGCAATTTGAACTTTGAGGCCAGATATGAAGACGCGCACGTGATGCTGCGTGTACACCCAAAAGTAGGGGTTACAAAAGAAAGGGGGAGGGGCAGGGTGATGTAGCGTGCCCCCGCTCCTGACCTCATTAAAATGCTACCGTCTTCCACCGAATACAACATAGGGTCATTATAGCTGTATTTAGACTGAAAGATTCCCCAAATTCAGCTATAAGGACCCTACGTTGTACTCGGCGGAAGACTGTAGTTGACAAAGGAAAATAGAAAAACATTTGGGGCCGTGCTCAGCTGCGGCTTCAAAATCTTTTTTCTTGGGCCCTATGCATAGAACCGGTCCCTGGCCCTTGTATACAGCCACAAGTTTCAGAGGAGCAGGGTTTCAATTTCCAAGAGAGAGAGAGAGAGAGAGAGAGAGAGAGAGAGAGAGAGAGAGAGAGAGAGAGAGAGCACTTTGCACGTTTTCAAATGTGTGGCATTGCCCCCATTTGGATGTGGGGCAACCCCAGTCATTGATATGGCCGTCATTGGTGTGGATATGTGTCTTGTGCTACGTCTTGTGCTACGTCTTGTGCTACGTCTTGTGCTACGTCTTGTCCTACGTCTTGTCCTACGTCTTGTGTTACGTCTTTTTTTTTTTTTTTCCTTTTTTTTTTTTTTTTTTTTTCAACTTCATGCATCGGGAGCCCTGCTTAACGGGGTGATACGAGCCACCCCCTTAAGCAGGTCCGGTATTGAAGGCTCTGTCTATTGGCGGGGAGCAGGACCTGCTGGAAATTGGGACCAGCGTCCCTGTAGAGTTTCAGAAGGGTGCTCCGTCTTGTGCTCCGTCTTGTGCTACGACTTTGTGCTACATCTTGGGCTCCGTCTTGTGCTCCGTCTTGTGCTACGTGCGACTTGCGCTACGACTTGTGCTACATCTTGGGCTACGTAATGTTGCACTGCAGGTCCAAGTGCATCCCACTGGGTGTGTTGATCCCAAGGATCCGGCGAATCTGACCAAGTTCCTCGCTCCAGAGTCATTGAGAGGTTGTGGAGGCATTCTTCTGAACCAGAAGGGAGAAAGATTTGTCAACGAGTTAACGACATGGGACGCGGTAAGTGCCCGTCTCCAGCAATTCGGTTGAGTTCTTGGAACCTTTGATTTCTGCTTAATGTCCTATGTCTACTTTCCTCCGTCTTGCGATTGCCTGAGATACACTCAACCTTTGAGTTTTGCTTAATATCCTATGTCTACTTTCCTCCGTCTTGCGATTGCCTGAGATACACTCAATTCCGTGCCCGCACACAGTCTTGGTCTTTTTTTTTTTTGGTTGACCTGATACTTTTACTACATGCGATTCAACTTTTTATTCGTTGCTGCACCACTTTTTGTCACCCATTGTTATCTCGTATCTTGGGAGGAAGGGTGCATGTTCATTTCCTGCAAAATGTGGGGGAGTGGCATGGCATGTGAGGAAGGTTGTTTAGTTTTTTGTTCTATTTCCTGAATGTTTCTCCTAATAATAACCAGGTTTGTGAATTCTTAATGTCCTGGTCCTAATACTGACCATGTTCATGCAGTCTTAGCCCAGTGAGGCGTCGCCTTTGTGGCTGTTGCTGGTCACATAAGTGGCTAGGTTCATGCTGAATTAACTCAAATTGTTGAACAGAGAAGTTGAGAGGTAAACACCCATATGTAAATGAACAGGCCAGCATGAGGGACGCTGGGCGCGGTTCCCAGCATCTGCTCTTTTACCAACTCGACAATGTATCTCAGGGGACACTGGACCCGCTTTCCAGCAGGTGGAGCTCCCCACCAATAGACTGGAGCCCCCCACGTGACACGTAGGAGTGCATGCTCGTATCATCACTCCTATCTGTTGCAGGGAAAATTTTTGTAAAAAAAAAAAAAAAAAGGCCTGGACGTCCCCATGTACAGTGAACAGGGCTTAAACCACCAGTACTTCCGAGGCACTTTTTTCTCCGGGCCTGGAAATGACCTGTGCACACACACAAAAAAAAAAAAAAAGGAACTGGCGCGGGCCTCCTTTTGGCTGGCGCCACCAGTCATTTTGCTCGGGAGCCGCGAAAGTTGTGGCAGCATGCCAGCCGCATATTTTTTTTCTTTGTCTGCGAAACACACTGGTGGTCTAACCTCCAGCACTGGCATCCAGCCGTCTGCAATGGAATAAAAGCCCCGGTTACCATAGCTGCTGCATTTGTTGCAACATTCAGTCTAAGACTCTAAGTAGATACAACTGCAAAGAACCGGAAAGAATCAGTCTGAAAATTTTGCTGTTTTCTCAACTTTTCTGTGTATTGCTTCTTACTGGTCTGATTTCCTGAGATTTCCGCGCTCTGTGTGAGTTTGCTGTTGTGTGCAATGCATGCATGTGTGTAAGTGCCCATATGACGATTGCTATGTAGAGTACTAACTGTGTGCTTGCTCTGAGATTTCTGTATTCCCGGGAGGGGTAGATTAGAAATAGGAAACCGCAGGGACAAGACTGAACTTGGGTATACTTTTGTCGTCCTTTTGGCTAAGATCAAGTGCAGTGTATCTGTTCTGATCAGTTTTTAATATCTGGGGCGTGGTCCATCCGAAAAGAGGCGAAGACTGATCTCGGGGAGAGGACAAACTTCTACTAGAAAGGCTAGAACGGACAGGGACACAAGTGGAATTTGGGTAGTACCCGACAAGGAGTTTCCAGCAACTCGGGAAGGCCCAGCGGTAGACCGGGCGACCTAGAAGGACCTGGTAGCTTTCCAAAAGGTCATGAGTATTCAGGGCCCGAACCTAGACATCAGATAGGTTAAATTCAGGCCCTGAGGTAGACTTACAGGCTGCGATGATGTTCATGCCAAAAGGCAGGAACCCCCCGGTAGGCCTACTACCCCGGGGAGGCAGCAGTAGGAGCGGTACCAAGAAGCTGGAAGAGTATATCATTCGGGTACAATAGTGAAGCGGTGTCTTACCCGGCAGTCATGCTGCTGCTATGCTCAGAGGGTGACGTTAGGTGGAGCTTGTGCTGATCGATGCAGCTGGAGGGTGGAGTGGGACACCTCCGTTGCTTTGGAGGATGAGTAGTAGGAGGCAGTAGGCCTTGGGTATGGAGCTAGAGGGCGAAGCGCCCAATGCCAGGCTATGGAGAAGGGTGAGAGAAGGGTGCAGAGGTTGAGGGAGGGGCAGTGAGAGTGGGCAGTGAGAGTGGGCAGTGAGAGTGTGAGTTGCAGTTGGTCTCCGACTTCCAACCGAGAGCATGGCTATGGTGGAAAGAGATGGGAGAGGCAGAGGAGAGACTGCGTTGTCCTTTGAACGTCCGTAATGAGCATGGATGTTCCGCCATAGTGCTAGTTGCAACGGAGGAGAGGGAAGTGAGGTTACGGCCGAAAAAAGGAGGGCCCCTTTTAGTGCTGGCATGCAGTAATGGGGATTATGCGGACCTGTTCATTCATTCATGCATTCATTTGTTTACAAGAGGAGGTGGAGAAGAGGAGGAGAAGGTGAAAAAGGGAGGGGGAGGGAAGGGAAGACATTGGTTCAACTTGTGTAATTCTTCTTCTTTTTCTTTCATTCTTTTTATTTCGTTCCGCTCTTTCTCTCTCTCTCCACTTTTTTTTTGTTTTTTTTTTGTAATACACACAACCAGTTGCTCAGCTAGAAGAGGTGATAAGAGCACCCCCTCCTTCATTTGAATTTCAGAAAGTCTTGCATTTTCTTGCGCCCTGAGTTTTGCATTTCAAATGAATGTGGAAGGATCATAACACAGCAATAATGACCGCGTGTTCTATTCGGGTGACGACGGTACGTCGGGTACGGTAGCTGTGGAAGAATGAGTTTTTACTGCAGTTGATACTTAGCTTTTACTTAGTCATTTTCGCATCGTGGAAAGATCCTAAGAGGGTTTGAACGAGAGCTGTTCCTAGAGAGGGGGCCTGTCAGGTACTGTTGATCTGTAAGGAGGTGTCTTACTTCAAAGAAGGCGGTGACATATACCTCACTGCCAAGGAGGGTGTTGGTTGCTTGCCCGTGAGCAGAAGTCGGCAGTGGACTGATCAGTCCTATACAATCGGTGCGCATAATTTCTAAATATCTTAGTGCGTTCGCGGCTGCCACGGATGGTAGGTAGGTCGGGTCGATTTCTTTCTTTCTTTCTTTCTTCCTTTTTTTTTTTTTTGGTTAGAAAAACTTAGAATAGTATCAATTTATTTCCAAAAGATAAGTTGAGCCTGGGGACCTCACAATTCTACCCGGAGATGGGGGCCATTACCCAGATTTGTCTCAAAACAGAAGAACTGGAAACCGGGTCCAGCGTCCCCAAACTCATCCTTAATCCACAACAGCTCCCCAAAAAAGTAACAATCACGCTCGATAAAAGAATAAGCACTCGTGGCTAGCCGGGCCTAACCCCGAGTGTACCTCGATTCATCTCTTGTTGAGTCAGGCAAATTAGCATATCCTATCACAACTTTTAACCTCCATACCTGAAAATTCAGAACAAGAGAAGACAGAAGCTGCTCTACGTAGCCTGTGACTGGGTCAGGGTGGGGCAAAGAAGTCCTCCGTTCAAGGTGGGGTACTAATTGGTTCCCCGTGACCAATCGTGGCCAGTAATCAAGGACAGAAGGAGACTTTTGACCCTATCATCTATTCTAGACAGTCCTGAGTCTCTTCCCCAAGTATCCCAGAACCACGTCCGTTGATTCTGATTCATTCCACGTGTCGTTTGCGTTTGCCTTCGCCAGTCACAAAGGATCGTCCTTCTTATATCTGAAGTAATCGGCTCCTTGACTTGAATATCAGACATGAACTGGCGGCGGAACAATTGGTTGTCCCTATCATCCCAGATCACCTTCATTATGATAGCTCTGATCACCTGTGCCACATACTTCCATTCACTCTTACTAGTCACACATCCTTTTCAAAATCCACTCATCTGTCCACTGAAACTTATTTCTCATAATCGTATCCCAGTGTTGAATTCACCAGTCCCAGATTCGCCGTGAGGCAGGACAGGTAAGCCATAGGTGTCTTATTGTCGCCCATCCCCATTTGCATCTAGTGCAGGTCGTAGAAATTTCCATACCTTTTGCCACCAACCAAACAGCTAATGCTGTGGCCAGAATGGCTTGTAACCAAAGCATACTGGCCAACGTTTGGGAAGGGATACGTTTCAACTTAACACATAAAGTCTGCATTGATTCGAGGTAGGTCGATTTCCCATGACGGGCAAGAAATCGCGCCAGTGTAATGACAACACTGACAAGCCCTGTCGAACCAGAGGGGGGAAACTTCTGGTGACGCAGTGCACCGATTTGTTCCCCCTCTTTCCAATCTGTCCGCCTTGTTCTTTGTCGTCTGTCGTCATCTCCTCCTTTGCAACTGTGCAGGTTTTTCACTTCTTTGGGCCTCGTTTCGCTACTCACCATCCAGCGACATTATGAATGCATCTCAATGGCCCTTTGTCCAGATACATTAAAAACCTTGGCGGATGGCAAGTGCCGTGCAAGTTCCGTGCAACTCGACCCTGAAAGAGTATTGGTATGTCGCTGTTTTTTTTTTATTATTATTAATTTATTTTTTTTTATGTCGCTGTTTGTCCGTGGCCTTCTCGCTAACTGTCGCTTATTTTTGTTGGCTCGCTGTGTACTAATCAGGCCACCAAAGCTATCATGACTGAATGCGAAAGGCTCCCCCTGGAGATAGTCAAGTGCGCTGGGGGCAAAATCAATGGAGTGGATGTTGTACAGGGAAATGTTAAAAACAATGACCACCTGCCAATATCAGCGTACATGCTCATCACCGAAGAAAGCCTAGACAAGTTTGACAGAGCCACCGGAAACTTCTACATCGCAAAGGGATTCATTCAACGGGTGAGTAGAGTCGTGCCAACAACCAAAGGCCCCCAATACCTGCTGCATAAATGCTGATAACCAAAGAAGCATATGTATATATATATACCTCCTGATGAGTCGGTGAAACTCCGACGAAACAGTTTGTCACAGCCCCTCGTTTGTTGTCCTCTTCTC